ACAAAGAAAAAAGGCCGGTGGCTTATCTCGTTGTATTATCATTATTATTAATCCACTGGAACGAATTGTGATTGCCTTGATAATAATTTCATTGTCATTGTTGGCAATGGGTCACTTACATGAACATTACAAACACTTGAAAATGCTAATCAGAATCCATTTAACATGTATTGCGAAAATATCTTAAACAGCCATGAGCTAAATTTAATGCTGTGCCATCACGTTCATCAATAAAGCAACTTAGACCGACTGAGAGCAAAATATTTTACCAAAAGAAAAACTTAAATTAATTTAATATGCACGACAAATATTGCAATTAACTTCTTTCCTTTTTTTCTCCAATTCCTCATTGACAACAATTTCAAAATAATAAGTCAACATCAACATGTAGTTAGGGAGAGCTCTGCATAACCACCTTTCTTTGTCCTCTTGTACTTGTTGATCTTTTTGAATCAATCCTTTCGTAATGCAGGTCTTCCTCCTCGTTATAAGTTTTTAATTTCGAAAGCAAAAAAGCTGCATGTATTGAGCACCTGGTCATGATTTGCGTATTGCAGTTGCAGTTGGTAAATCATTGTGGCTGTTGTGACGCAATGCAATGAAATGAATGCTGACACTCGCCTTAATTCTCAATCTGTATCCATAATCCTGCTTTGTCGCAGCTCTTTGATGCATCAACATATTATCTAATCAAAGGACATCAATGACACAATATATCGGTATATATCTGTTAGTTAAATATATACTAACTGTAGCATATTATTAATCGCATTGACTTTAAGTGAAGAGTACGTTAGCACAAGTACATGTAAGCCCGTATAAAAAAGGAAATCAGCTGTAATTCGAATTTATCCATTAAAACCTACTTACCAGTAGGGCCTACATGACGAATTCCAGGTCGACAAAGCAGAAGCACTGGTGGATCCAGGTTTTTGCTAAATGTGTTTGTGTGTGAAGGGGGGGGGGGCACATGGATAAAGAATAATTTCCTTTGGTAAATATAAAATATATTATGAAATATACATTTTCAATATTTCAGTTCCTTTTTAAATAACTAAGGTAGATGAATATATGCCAACGATATTTTGTATTTACTGCCAGTATTGACCATTTGGTTGACAGACTGCTGGTTTTGTGTCTGATCTAGCAAGAATAGGATAAGTAGCTGATTTTGCCTTTCAAAACAACTTGAACCCAACTAGCAACGGGGTACTTATGATTTCTGGTTGGTTCAGTGCAGTATTGGACAAAGTGATTTTCACTTAAACATCTCAATTATTTACAGTTATTTAGAAAATGGATACACTTTTCATCTCTTGGGG